CCTGAGGAGAAAGATGAGGAGTTCCCAGAGCACAAAGCTGGAGAGAAAGTCAATGAACCCATGATGGTGGCTGCTAGGCAGCTTCACGATGAAGCCCGCAAATGGTCCAGCAAAGTAAGGGCTCAATAAAACAGAGTTTTAGTGAGGAGTTTGTTTCTCATGTCAATGCGCAACTGGGCCATTATCAAAATGTTCTTATGCATGTGCAATTGAAAGTTCCACCAAATTGGACTTGTTAGTACCTGGATGAAACAACATGCATTAGCTCAGTCTCTTCTCAAAGAATGCAAACAAAAGTTGTTGTTTTTTTTAACTGTTATAATGCATGAGTGTTAATGCATTGAAAACATAACACTAGAAGGTGAAATGCAAGTCATCTGTAGCCTGTTAATCTGCCAACTACCATTTGCACAGCAGGAAATCTCATTGTCATTGCTACACCTTCATTGAACTGGGTCAAGGGACTCTTTAAAGCATTGGGTCCAGAGGGGGAGATTTGGAAAAGCTCTGAAAAACCTAATGTATTAACCCAAGATTGTTCCATTGTGGTTAGAGTTTAGAAAGTAAGTAAAGCCTCTCCAAATTGCATAGACATCTGTAACTGTTGTGGATTCCCAAATGAAGTTCATAGAGAAGGACATTGTGTTCAGCTGCTGATTCTCTGAAAAAGAAAAGAAACTCCGGTTGTGAAAATAAAAAAATTCAATCACTATAAAGTAAGAGAAAGCTCGTAACATTAATAGATTTTGGAATATTCAACCATTAAGAATTGTTTAGCAACCATCAATGGCTCTCTATTATATCAGTTTTCTGGGGTAGACAGAACAAATGCGCTTTCAAGCACTTGCTGATTCTGTTGATCCACACAGGGAAACGACATCATCGGCGCTGCCAAGCGAATGGCTCTGCTCATGGCAGAGATGTCCCGTTTGGTGCGTGGTGGCAGCGGAAACAAACGCGCCCTGATCCAGTGCGCAAAGGACATCGCCAAAGCCTCTGACGAAGTCACACGGCTGGCGAAGGAAGTGGCCAAGCAGTGTACCGACAAACGAATCCGGACCAACCTGCTCCAGGTCCGTAAAAGAAACCATCAAGTTAGAAACTGATGTTTTAATTTTTAAAAATTGATATATTTTGACACTTTGACCTCATTTCAGGTGTGTGAGCGCATTCCCACCATCAGCACTCAGCTCAAAATCCTGTCCACTGTCAAGGCCACCATGTTGGGCCGTACCAACATCAGTGAAGAGGAGTCTGAGCAGGTGACGTCCTAATATTATCTTAATATAGTTATTATAGTTTAATATAGTTATCATGCAGTCTAGAAAAAGCATAGCATTTTTCTCATGTCTAGATCCATATGGAAAGCAAAAATGTTTATTCCTTTGTCCATCTCCCATTTCTTTATCCATTCGCCTTTGCGTCTTTCCCTTTTGTATCTGTGTCCCTCCTGTCATCCATCTTTTTTTTTTCTTGTCAATTTTTCTAAATTTTTTTTTTCTGTCCTGTGAATTCATCTTCTAATCCATTAGTTTATCCATCCATGTGGCCCATTTATCAGTATCTGTCAACTCATTCATTGGTCCACTCCTCCATCTGTTTATCATCCATTTATCAATCCAAATCTTCCTCCATTATCTCTCCGTTCATCTATTTCTCCATTTTCCTTAAAACTATCACCCCTGTCTATTTAACATCTTTGTGCATTCATTCATTTATTTGTCATCCTCCTGTCCTTCATCTTTATAATCTGTGGTGGTAAAACTTCTGTTTGAAAATCTGAGGTATGTCCATAGTGATAATTATGACTGGCTAATATTAGGTTGTGATGTGTGGAATCAACTGGAAAAATGTTTGAGAATCTTTTGGAAAGTCATCACTTAAAACCTTCCTCATCATTGAATCTCTTTTTATTCTTTATGCTTCAGGCAACTGAAATGTTGGTCCACAACGCCCAGAACCTGATGCAGTCTGTGAAGGAGACCGTCAGAGAGGCAGAGGCGGCCTCCATTAAGATCCGGACAGATGCAGGTTTCACTCTCCACTGGGTCAGAAAGACCCCCTGGTACCAGTAAGAGACGAGTCATCAGTCCTCTGGTTGGTGCTGGTTCTGCCCTGCTGTTCACGGGGACGATGAATGGACAGACATATGATTCATCAAAGCAACGATTACACTGCCCCACGCCTATATATGGGCAAAGTTTCTCCCTCATATGTCCTGTCTGTAGCGGTTGCTGTTCTGATATAATATAAAATGTGGGACTGTTAGTTTGAAATATATTTTAGGGGTTATGATAAAGAATTCTTGAAATATGCATATTTATATAATGATCAGAGGTTAGATTTCATATCATGTGAGGGTAATTATGTATGGGCTTTTCTAGATCTAGACCACATTAAATTAAATTGAATTAAAGAACATTTTTATATCTTCATACTGAATATTTTATTATCACAATTACTTCTGCTTTGCTTGGATAAGCACATGAACTTAAGGAGTTGTTACAAGTACAGCAGAGGTATTTGCTCAGTGCAGATGCTTCCGTTTGATATTCTGTGCTGCATGAAGCGAAAGAGAAATGCTGGTGTTTGTTTCATTTTGTGTTGAAGCAGTCTAGAGTTCTGCCAAAGATATTTCATCCACACTGTTTAATGCATGAAATTTAGGGAACAAGTTTCTGATTTGACCCATTCAAGTCATTCTAGATTGCATTAATATAACATCTATTAAACAGCCTTGTGCTACTTTATGTAGCCTAAAAGCCATTTGTTTACTGTTCCTGGCATGCTATGAGAGTTTGAATGAAACCTCCTGCTTTTGTTTTTGGCACACCTGTTCACTTTTGTGTGTGTGTGTGTGCACAATTCTTGAAAAAAGTTAATTTATATAGCAAAAAATTAGCACCACTTCATAAAGCACAATAACTGCAGCTAAGTTAATCTAAGTTGTCTTGATACACTAAACAGAACTGATCACCTTTTGTGGTAATTCTGTATTAAATATTTTAAAATGTCTGAAGCTTTTTTTTTTTCTTTTTTGTGAAAGTTTACTTTGGGCGTCTAACTGATGTGCCTTGTTTTGCGATTAATATTTTCATTTTCAGATATTTTGTATTGTTTGTACAAGTTGTCAGTGCTAATTTGTTCGGAACACTTACTGTACAGGATTCTTCTTTAAAGCCTTTTTCAAGTACTCACAAAATACTTTATGCAAACCATGTTTCCCCTCAACAAAACAAATATGCAACTTGGTTGGGATATAATGGGTCTGAAAGATAATTTTGCCTTAGCATTGTTCACAATTTTGTAATAAAGCATTTTATAACACTCAGTTTGTTTTTGTTTTGTTGAAAAGAATGAAGTCTTTTTGCTCTGATGCTATCAAGTCAGTCAACCAAAGCATCTCGACGCAGGAGTGCAAACAGTTTCTTCCTGATTTACAACCCACCTCTGTGGCACCGTCTGTTCCCTGGGAGACATAATTATTGCATGGCTGAGTTTTAAGACAGTCGGCTTAGAAAAAGCAATAATTCAATAAGAATAGCGGTAGTGAAGGCTTTAAAGACTTGCCCAACAAACATTAAGCTTAGTAGATAAAGGCTACCCATGTTCTAAGCATCACAGAATCAAAGATGCATTTATAAAAGCTTTCTGAAACTTTTAGTTCCAATATAAACGGAACAACCAAAGAGCAAAGGTTTCCATATGGTTAACCACAACTTTCACAATGTAACCTTCAGGAAACCATTCCTAAATGTTGTCTGTTAGTTTCAACATTCATAATGTAACTGAACTATAAATAAACCTAAATATTCTTATGTTCCTGTTTCTCAAAAGATTGGATAGCAGCCTCGTTTCCGTCAATCTGTCCGAGAGGCTGCAATGTTGCTTACCTCCGTCAATTGTATGTTTGTGAATGACTATCATATAAAGAGCTTTCTAGTCTCTAGACTTGATAAAAGTGCTATACTAGTGTAGGTAATTTACTATTTGTTAGTGGTAACTGCAGGGGATCATTGAAGAATGTTCTTAGTTTCTACGGTTAGACACCACTACTCAACATAAACATTGGTGAAACCTTCTAAGGTCTAAAAGAAATCATTCTCAGACTATTTTCAGTATTGACTGTATGATCTCCAGGAAATGTTCTGTTATGGTTTCCTAAAGGAAGCTAAAGGTTTCACCACATAACCATCAAAGAAATCTTTCTCTAGCTTCACGTTGCAACCTTCAGGGGACATTTTTTGCTGCTGCTCACGTTCTTACTAAAACCAGGAAGATAGAGCACATAACACCAGTTTTAAAGTTCCTCCACTGGCTCCCTGTACCTGAGAAAATAGACTTTAAAATACTGTTGTTAGTATACAAATCACTAAACGGTTTAGCACCACAAACATTAAAGATCTGCAACCCTCCAGACCTCTCAGGTCTTCTGGTTCTGGTCTGCTCTGCATCCCCAGAACCAGAACCAAACGAGCAGCTTTCAGCATCTATGCACCACAAATTTGGAACAAACTTCCAGAAAACTGTAAAACAGCTGAAACACTGACTTCCTTTAAAACTGAACTAAAAACCCACCTGTTTAGAGTTGAATTTGAAATGTAATCAATTATAAATTTAATGATGGAACTTAACATAATGTCATGTTTTGATTGTTGATTCTATGTTGCATGACTTTTGTGTTTATGATGTGAAGCACTTTGAAATGCCTTGCTGCTGAAATGTGCTATTCAAATACAATTTGATTGATCGATTGATTTTGCAAAGGCTGTTGACAGTGTGACTGTAGCACTACAAGGGAACATTTTTTCCTGTAAGATTTTGCAGCAACTTCAGCAGTGATTATGTGCAGCTTTTTTTTTTTAGAGTTCAAAGAAAGAAAAACAACGCATGCATAAGTTTTGCTTGTGAATCCATACTCCCAGCACCGTCAAATGTTAAAACGTTTCATCATCAGCTTGGAATGGGCAATCTTTGCAGGGGAACTTGATGGAATTCAGCTACTTTTGTCTCTCCGCAAAGCGAGTAAGCACAATCATTCCCCAACCACAAATAAACTCTTATTTCCCCCCTGTTTATTTTTCACGCGGTCGAACAATTTGTCCTTTATGGTTTGATGGGGAGGAAGCGGCAGCTTCCTGCTACTCTTCCCCGCCAGAGAGGAAAAGAAAAGAGGCTGTGGAGATTCACCATCAGCAACGGACGCGTTGAAGAGAGATGGCTGAGGAAGAAACAGCCACGTCGACTTGGAAGATGAAGACGGCGTTGAGGTAAAAAAAAAAAAAGAACGAAAGGAAGAAAAGAGACGGGGTTGTTTATTGTGAAGCGAAATGATGCGCCGAGCTCCGCGCTGCTAGCCGCTGCCTGCTGCTAGCCGTTGGTTGCAGCTAGCGCCTCTGGTGTTGTGTTAACTGACAGCTGGAGCTGCGGGGAGAAAGCGCTTCGACCAGCCGTTTTCCTCCTCTGTACCCCCCGCTCTCATTTAGTCTCTTCATGTACACCGCTTATCGGGTCGTGACGAAACAAGCCACAGCGAGCAGACCGCCGTGATTTCATGGTTTCACAACATGACTGGAACACGGAAAAAAAAAAAAATGTCGCTGCATACATCCAACCTCTAACTGTCCTTTAAAGAAGAGTTTTTTAATGAGAACGAATCAGGAGGAACTAAGTATGTTATTTTGACAGTGACGAATTGTTGACAGTGTTAAACAAGCCAGAAATAAACTTGTTGGATTAGTAAGAAGTTAAGGCAGTGTTTGAATCACGTCTTGTTCAAGAAAAAATAACCGGCAGCGTTTATATTTAACGGCGGAACAATTATATTCGGAATGACTGTTTAACTGTCAGCAGTAAATCAATAAACAAACGATGAGGTTTTTGATTTGTTTACAAATGAAACAAATCAATAAAGTGAACCATGCCGCGTTCAATTGACCTGGGAAAGCTAGTTATCAGCCGCAAACTCTTCTCTGAGGTTTACACTGGCGAGAGTAAGTCGTTAAGTATGTACTTAAAGAACCATTGTTTTAGAAAATATGTAATAATAATAATAATTATTATTACAATTCTTAGGTATTGTGTTTTGTAATTTTGCGGAATAACCTTTTAATGGGAGCTAACAAGTTTTTGGTGGAGATGCACAGAACAGGCTGATAACTATTTCTGATTTTTTTGAAGGTCTAATGTGCAGATACGGATTTTGACCAATGATGCATACACAAGAAAATAAATGTTTTTTTCTTTGATGAAAGTGTGGATTATAAATACAACAGAAATTTAAAAAATCCCAGTTTATGCATCATGTGTATGCCCCAAGCCTACACATGATTATGCTTGTGAATTTATGAATCAAAAGTGGGGAAACTATGAATTAACATCTCTAGATTTATATCTCTTAAATACATTATTAATTGACATATGATGAGCCAATGGCTCTGCATACACTATTTCATACATCTTACAATTATATTGGCTAATGTAACAGGGTAGACCATGTTACATTGCAAGTTCTCGTTTTCTTCATTGACCTCAAATGCAGCACTGAAAGCCCAACAATATTTGCCCCATGTGTAGCCAATCACAAGCCAAGAAGGTCACCGAAGACCAGCCCACTCTGTTCACCAACATTAGGGTTGGTCCAAAGTGGAGCTCTAGTTCCTGGACTCAGAAAGCACATTGGTTTTGTCAGAGAGGGGGAAAGCTGTTGATCATTTAATATTCTGGAAGAATTTTCTGACATCATGCCAACTCCAAGGTGAGATCCAAACCAGGAAATACTCTGCAAAGGGCAGTTGAGCTATTAAGATTGATGTTTTGAGGAAATGCTTTTACTCTATCAGCTGTGTTTTGCTTAGTTTAATTGAAAAATACTGTTTGGAGAAATATTGTATACGTTCACCAAAATAATTATTAACCCTTGTATGTCCTAAACAGATATTTGCTGTTATTATGTTGCTTATTTAAAGTGGGTTAGTTAACCTGTTATCCTATCAAGAGCAGACTTTGCCCACTATATCTCATTGCTGTGAATTTGTAGATAAAATTGATGTGCAAGCAAAAATTCACAAACTAAAACACATAACATACATGTGCATGTTTTGGTAGCTATAAATTCACACATGTTGCTGACATAATGATAGCAGATGCAATTTTGGTGAAGCAGTAAAACAGGGGTGCGCTCCTGACTGAAATTTCTGTTATTTAAGACAACAAATCCCAACCAGATGATTTCCTGTTTCACAGCGATGCACAGATTGCTCGTTTCCTCCACTCTCTCCTAGCCTAGCCACTATGTGGGAGTCTGCAGATTACAATATGTTTTTGTTCCCTCTTTCACAGTGAAAACATGCTGTTTGGGATGGGAAATCCCTTGTTGGACATCTCAGCTGTGGTGGACAAAGATTTCCTTGACAAGTGAGTGTCTTTAGCTGCTTTGATTTTACTTATACATTACCAAAAACTCACTAACACAATAAAGTTATTGACCATCCCTGTTCCCTTGTCTTTGTGAAAGGTTTGGACTGAAACCAAACGACCAGATCTTGGCTGAAGACAAACACAAAGCCTTGTGAGTCAGACACACCGGGGGAACCACATGGTCTCCTATAGCGTAACGTATCTTGCTAAAATTATGGCAAACCAAATAAGGGTTACACTCGTCATTCATACCCCACTAACATCTTCTCACTGTTTGCTGTGCTCAAAATAGCATGGTTATAAATTCACCATGGTGCAACTTAGCTTTAAGGCTTGGCACTACCTAATATTTTGAAGTCTGACACTACAACCCTCTCAGTATAAATTGTAGGATTTTGTTTGGATTTTAATGTGTATGTTTTGTTTCATGCTTAATTCACGGAAACGGTTTTCCAAAGCATGTCTGTTCCCCTTCCAGACCTGCATTTTCCAGGCAGATGTAGAGTCACTTTTTAAGCTTTATCAAAACTATGCCCGCATTTTCCTGAGTGCAGATCGTCACACCTTTTGAAATGGAAGGTAAACAAGAGCGACATGAACAAACTCAGACATCTGATTTTCAGCTGACCTTATGCCAAACTTTGTCTTCTGTTTGAAGGCGTACAGGTGATTTCTTTTTCTTTAAAAGATACATTTTCCTTCAAAATTTTCAAAACAAAGAGTACCATCTTGAAGTTTTGGAGAAATAACATAATTGTCCTAATGTTGATACATGGATTCATTTCAATTATAGCCTGCCAGAACTGAATACATCTGTTGTATTGTAACAGTTTACATTGCCATGTTCAAAGTTCTGCAACAGACATTAAACAAGCTTCAACCTGACTTAAGGTTGAGTTTTGTCCACTGCCCTGGCAAAGGGGTGAGTGTGCTTGAATGCATAGTTGTTTTCATAAAAAAGTGTAACTCCAGGTTTTTGTTTGTTTGTTTCGCTTCTGTAGAACATATCATGTTGATTTTCTTTTCACTCCTGGGTTGTTAACTGGGATATTTAGTTAACATTTTACTATGTATCTATGGGTACATAGTTGGTACATACGTAACCATTTCCATCAGTATGTTTGCAACTAAAAGGTTGAAGAAGTCTTGAGGAATCTCTTAAGGTATACCCATGATGACATTCTGCTTTATGTATTACATTGGTAATGAGAAATCTTTTTATTGTGGTTCACCTTTTGCACTGAGAGGAAGCAGGATTACTTTCAAACGACTCTGTTTCTTGGACTAGTATTGCTCTTGGCAGCTTCGCTTCTTCGTGTGTTCAATATTTATAATGGGTGCCAGTCTAGTTTACGCTTTTCAAATTACAAATTATAAAGTATTTTTATTTTATTTGTCTGTTAAGATTGCTTGATTTGTTGTCTAGTGCAAACTACATGCCTAATTAGAAATACATTTAAGGAGAAGAAGAAGTTAATGTGTTCTGTACTTACTTTCTGGTGGTGTTTCTCAAATGTTTGATTTGTGTCTTTTTTTGAAGCTTTATTTATCACATTTTACTCAACTTGTAAAGTAAAACTGCCAGTATAAAATATGCCTCCAGCACACTTACTAGAGTGCAACAGATGAATCTTTTTCTTTCACTGAGCAAGTGTCAAATGTCCCTTGTGAGTACATTCCTACCCCTCACAGCTGCACATTTGTATATCAGTTAAATGTGAAAACCCCAGTCTTTATGACCGTGCATATGTAACATTAGCAATAGCACACAAACCTCAGCACCCCTCGCAATAATTAAGAATATGTAAAAATCTGTCTTTTGTTTGATCTGGGAAAATAGAAAAATATTCTGACATAAAATAAATGTAACCGAAGCATATCTTAATTTTTAGATTGGTCACAGTGTCTGATGTTTTTTATTTAATGTTGTGGTCTGTAACATTCTGTTTCCCTGTGATATAAGTATAAATGTTACGCGGCTTGGAGCCCTATATGATAATAGGGAAATTCACCATGTCTCTAGTCTGCGCAACAATTGGAAAGTCAAAACAACTGGAAAAATTATACAAAAAAAACTCGCCAAACTTTAAAGGTCTCTTTTTAGAAAGCTAAATGAAGGAAGTCACCGTGTCAACTTTTAGACTGCTAAATTACAATTGATTTGTACCAGTTGGCATCAGGTTGTTTATACTTGTCCACTTCGCCTCCTGAACTGTCACTTTTTCTTATCCTCAGTAGCCTCGACTTTTGCACTAAGTAATTGAAAACTTCATCCTTCTTGTGGGAGTTTACCAGCAGCTGTGGTATACTTTTGTCTGAACATATTTATAGCAGAGCTTTAAACTTGTCCTTCAATCCACAAGTGATGGTGAACCATTTCGCTTGGCAGTTTTGCTATAAACACATTTACTTTGGTCGTGTTTACCTAAAATGCCCTGCCGTGTGCCCCATTTTCTATATTTGATTCACTTGAAGCAGACCGAGACCTATGTTTTTAGACAGACAAGAGTCTACTCTTGTCTCCACCAGTAGATCGTACATTCACACCTTCCCAAAGAAACTAGATATCTCTGGCTGTATATTTAGGGTTTTTCTGCTGGAAAATGAACCTTCACCTCAGTCTCCCATCTTTTATTTCTACTCTGTATTTACGTCCATCCATCTTTTGGTCAGTCATGACCAGCTTCCTGGTCCCTGATGGAAAAAAGCAATCGTGCATCAACCTACTACAACCACGTTTCAAGGAGATGGTGTCTTCAGGATGACCTGCAGTGTTTTAGGTTGCATGGTGTGTTTCATTTAGCCCAAACAGTTCAGTTTTGGATTTGACCACGGCATCTTCTTCCATTTGTTCCCTTTTGTCCAGTGAACTGCTTTTTCTTTTCTTAATAATTGGAGTTGTGGAGTGCCAAACTAATGTTGTGGCCACATGGGGACGTTGTGTTCTAAAACAGGAAAGTTTTAACCATTCTTGGCCTGCATCCCGACAAACACAATGGTTGTAATGTGACAAAATGTGAAAAAAGGGATCAAAAAGGCAAATAAATACTTTTGCAAGATCCCGTATACAGTTCATGGGCATATCAGTACATCAGCGCTACAAAAGGCTACCTTGTCAGGTCTTGTTACTCCACAAAAGGACACACGTGACCTTGGGCAGCAGAGGCAGCACAAAGCAGCATCATCAGCAGTGTTGTTCTCCTTCAGCACAAAGGCTGCGGTGTTATCTTTAGCCCCACAGACACTGTTCTCTGTACATTCTGCACAAGGTCAGGGCAGGATTAACAAGCAGCTTTGGTGGTTAATTCCTGTCACAATACATTTCAGTGCATATCCTCACCAATTCAACACAAAGGAGCATGCACTCTCATCTCTATCAGGTTACCTTACTGTGAACATGCAGTGTTTATTCCTTTTTATTTCGATTCTTGGATAAAACCCAGAGCGTTCACTCTTTGGCGGCTTGATAAATGAGACTTGGTGTTACATTATGTAATCTACTAAGTAGCTCATCTCAGAAAGATGAACTATAAACGATATCCTGACAAATGGGTTAATTACAAAAAAAAAGCTCTCAATAGGCTTACAACTTCTCTCAACTAACACTTCTCTCAACTAGTTGTTGCACAACTGAATCTAGTGTAACACGATTCACAAGCTACCCCCTCCCCTCCGCCTCTCTTTCTTCCCATCACCCTGGTGGGAAAGATCATTGGATGCAGTGCACTGTGGCCGTTCCTGAATTCAATTATCTAGTCGCAGCAGAGCCCATATAATCCTGTTGTGGCTGAGAAATTGCCTGCTATACAGTAGAAAGCATCTATGTCCCTGTTAGTACTGGCTGGGGAGTTGGTGCTTTATTTTTTTTCTTCTGCTTCTGTTTCTTGTGTTTGTGTTCAGAGTAAGCCCCGGCAGCTGTGTAGGCTTTTGTGTTTTGATAGCTGATTAATCGTGCGAAAAAGTGCTGCTTTTACTTTCTCAGCAATCATATATATATATATATATATGATTTTGAGTTTTCTATTGATGAATGAAAATAAATAGCTATATGCTATTTTATGGATTGCCTTAACACCTCAGCAGACTGATTGCCTCCATGCAACACTCCATTGATGCAGTAATTCTTGCATGCCCTGATCAAGTGTTGAGTTAATACACTGTGGAGCACATTGACATTTCTCTATTTAAAAATATTATTATGTTTTGGTTTCATGTAATATTCCAATTTTTAGAAAAGCAGAATTTGGGTTTTAAATGTGCTTTTCAGACCTAATCACTTGAAATCATCTGTGTGTAATAAGTGTATATAATATGCTATTTCATTTTGATGCAGAAGCAACTCTGTCTGCCTATTATTATACCATACTGCTTACATTAGTTCCATGATCTTGTTTTAGTAGCTGTGTCGGCCATGCTCTGTCTTCTCTTTTCTCTACACAGTATCTCCAGTGTGGTTTCCAAGCTGCCCTTTAAGGGCAACTCTTTTTCAGCAGATGCTGGTTTTTCAATGTAGGTTTTGAGCTCAAGGTCGGAAACCAGCTCAACCAAAATGCTGCGTATGACTTCCTCTCCTTGTGAGAACCCTGCTTTTTCAGACAATGATATTGTCAGATGTGAGACTATAACTTGTTTTGGGTTGACATATTTCACGCGAACTTGTCACCATCCTTGACTTAATTGTTTATCAGCATAATTAACTACAATCAGTAGTTAATTATTTTGTTTTAATTATGAAGCTAACTAATCAGAAAACTCTCAAGCATCTCATTCAGTTTTATTTTTGCATACAATTTTTCAAAGATTTTATGAATTGCGAGTCTGACGTATTATAAAGCTTGATCAAACAAAAATAACTATTAGAGACTTTTGTGTGAAGGCTTCAGAGGTGGAGAACCTGTGCAGACTTGATAGGAAGATGGATTGATTGCCCTTTTCTGACCCATAGTGGAAGAATTGGTGGAGGCTGCACAATACTTGAGATGCAGCCAGAGCAGCCGCTTTTACAAAGCATTTACTAGGATAGGTTTGAAAACAAGTATACACTACTTTGTGTTTGACATATTAAATTGCTCCTCCACTTCAAGTTTTGTTGGATCACGCTCGCACAGTGCGAAGTATTGCATTAGTTAGCAGAGCAGAGTATAAAATTTA